AAATTTTTCTTGCTATTCCAAAAACGCGAGCGTGCCAAATAATCAAATTAATAAACGTGTGCATTAAAAGTTGTAAAGAACAACTTTTTAAAAAAAAATATATTAAAAAAACAAAAGAAAAAAAAGAAAAGGATATCGAAATTTATAACAATTTATTTATTTATTTACCTTCATGTTATCAAAGCTATCAACAAATTTTATGATCAGATTCATTTCAACACAGCAAAATACGTTAGATTTTTTAAAAAATCATTTGTTTTGAAACTGACAGCATACAAACATTGATATTTTACATTCCTACAAAGTTCGCAGAAGTAAGCCTACAAAAGCATTTTTTTTAAAAACTCTTGTTAAAACAAATTGCATTGAAAACAAATATACGTCACAGTGTGTTTCTAAAATTGCATGAGTGTACCCCATCGTATCCAGTTTATATACATATTTAAAATGGTCGTGATCAGAAATAGTGCCGACATGCGCAGGTGACTCAGACAATTAATGATCAATCATGGCAAACCTACAGAACATTCATAATAAAAATGATGGCTTCAATGAGGACTATGGGGTACGGCTATGAAGACATTTTTAAAAATATTTTTTGGGGGATCGTTCGATTGAATCTTTATTATTATTATACGAGCCAATACAATGCTATAATATAGAATGGATCTGTCGATGCAGGATTAAATTATTTTTTTTTTAATGTCGTCCGTCAGTAGTTAAGTGTATGATTTGGAATTGGAAAGAAAAAACTTAAACTCAAAATGCAGGTAATAATTGATAGATTCTAATGCGGTACATGACTCAAGTGACTTCAGTTAGAGTTTGAAAAAAAAAAAAAAAGATTGATGTAGTCAATGAATGAACTAATTTTTACATGGAGAAATAGAATGTGCTAAAGATCATACAGTAGTATATCTCGGTTTTTTTTTAATAGTATAATTATAACCCTAACATAAAGAAAATTTCAGCAGTGTCCCTGCCTGCAGCAAATCATTCAAACATCTGCTCATACAGCTCATGTAACCTGTGACGCGCATGCCCAAACCACACACATTCCCTTTCAGTATCTCGAAATCTTGAGGTTGTGCATACACACACACACACACAGAGAAATAAGTGCTAAGACAAAACAACCCCCACAATAACACACCGGCTGACGCTGGCAGTCAAAAAAACTGCTGGACGCCTTACCACAACATGTCTACTCTCTGAACTATCGTCGGGTGCCGTCAAAAGACTGGCGAGACTTTAAAAAAAAGACAAATACAAAAATGTTTCTCTATGACTAGGACAAGCTGTAACCAAAAAAAAAAAAAAATAATAATAATAATAATGACGTCATTGAGTCTGAAGGGGAATGTAGAACACCCCATATTCTCACGCATACGACACTTGTTTCATATTTGCTGCCTGGGCGGGACACTG